TGATGCAGCCTAAGAACTGTCATATTTTCTCATTACACACTTTAAGCAACAATAATGGATATCATTACACAAAAATATGCACTATAATCGTATAATTTATTTGAACTACATAAAGAAAGGATTTACTTAGCCTGTATAATAGATTTATACTTCCAATTATATATTCATTATATAAGCATTCACTTAAGGCCTACTACGGGGCATGCAATTTGCTAGTCCCTGGAAAAACAACTCTTCTCATAAGACAGGGTCATATCTTCAAGAAACAAAGAGGATAAGAATTGAGAATAAAGTAAATGATACACATCATATAATATAGATATGATTGAGAGGCATACACAAGTAAGGAAGTAGTTCATTTTTCCAGGGGGAAGGGAGTCAATGAAGACTGCATAGAAGAGAGGATATTTGAGACAGATTGGAAAGCTAAGTATGGAAGCAAATGCTGTGTCTCACCGAACCCTTCCCAGGCTCTTCTCCCATGTACACAATGCTGACCATTACAATGATTGCTTACATAGCACCTTCCGGATCAATTATAATGCTGCATCATCTGCTTACTTCAAGAAAATGTCTGAAAATAATCCCTCACAATTCCATTCACAGTTCTAAACATCTTCAAGCAGTACATGCTACAGCGTTACCATCTTTTCTCATTCCCAACCCCATCCCCTTGCTATCCTGCTTCCTGCAGACTACTAATTTTACCGCAGTGCATCTTTGTTCTAATTTGTTTTCTTTTCCAGTACAACCCATGAGCCATATGAATCTGCAATTAACTTGATCCAACTTCCCTTGAGGCTATAAGGAGGTTTTCTTTGATCTCCCATATTTGGAAAGGAATTTAGATAACATTTTCTATATTGGGAACTCTGCCCTTATTCAAGACTTTGATGACTTAGTTAGCCACTCCCTCACTGAAAGATGAGAAACCTAAATCTGACTGCTTGTGCAGACCTCCCTGTTAAAAAGACCTGAAAAAATATGGTGATGCCTGTCTCACATTCATGACTTGTATACATACTGATACTGACAGAAGTGAGGTCATCTTCTAGGAAAAAAACCATCTCAGGGTCTCAAGGCCCAAATAAATTTCACAAATGTCTAGTCTCTTCTGTATGGTTAGTTATTGCATACATAGCATGTAGGAAATGCTTCTAATCCAAAATGTCTATGGCATCTAATGTAAACTAACATCCTAGAGCCATACCTTTTGTCACAAGAAGCCAAAGAGGCTTTGTTTTCCTTTGAATAAACCTTGTAGATATCCCCAGCATTGAGTCTTCTTGGTAGTTATAAACTCGTATATTCCTATGTTGCACAGACAAAGGAACTGTTTGAGGTGTGAACACAGATTCATGAAGACAAAGAACAGCTCACTGCTGTATATGAGTTAGCTGTGCCCTAACTCAGTCCTTGCCTGCAGCTGCCATTCTGATTGAGGCTTCCTCCACTTTAATCTTAAGCACCTCCCTGACTATAGCTATTCCCTACAGAATCACAGTATGCCTGAAGATCCAATCACATGCAATTGTAAGCAAAACAAAATATGCAATTTTATTCTTTGCAAACAGAGAAGGCTGGAATGATATTAAACCCTGCCTCCCTCCTCTTGTTTCAATTCAAGAGGAGTTGCATGGCTGTCTAACAACCACGGCTGACTATTCAAATATTCAAAACTAATGTTAACTGTAAACCCACCCCCACCAAATCACTGATCTCATATATTTTACATAGACACACCCTGTCAGTGGCCAGAAAAAAAGGTAGGTTTGGAATATGCAGTGATATAAGAAAATAGAAAATTCCTCTTTGCTATCTGTTCTTGCTTATCCCTATGACTGAATCTATAATCTTTGGTGTTGTTTATGATTATGGACAGTGGAACAGTGTGAGTTAATCACCTTAGTGTGTATAAAAAATAAAACATTTATTTGTCCATTCATTGATGATCTGTTATATATCATGTAATTCCCTTATATTATAGCTGTTATAAACTGTGTTGTTCTCCAAATGACTTAGGCAGGGAGATGCTTTGGTTCACCATGCAGCCAAAGTAAATGTCATTTTCTCTATCTGAGTCCACCTAGTTGCCTTAAAAATCTTGTTGTTGTTGTGTTTCTTTAAATTAGACCCCAGATGCAGGATTAAACAGAATCAAACAAACAGAGCTTCCTGATTAACAGGGCGCCTCTTCTTCCCAAATTTGTATGGGCCGACTATCTGTTTCATTTTGCTTTCAGGACCCATGGAGTGAGAAAACAGACAAAAGAGAGGAGGGCACAAATGATAGATGAATCCTTGTACGTAAATTTGAGTTCTTCCAAGCTCGTTTATTTTGTCACACCTGCCCTGTTGTCAAGCCTGCATGTCAGGAAGTCCAGTAAAGACCCAATGTGCCCAAAGAAGAACACAAGGTACCCAGCTTTGGGTAGTCCATGCTTTTTTAAGAACATGCTATCAAGGAATCAACCAAATGACTCGTTTGGATTATGCTTTTAGAGTTAGAGCACCTCAAAGCACATATCCCTGTCCATAGTATAATGTAAGAGAGAAATTTTTGAATGGAAATAATACTGGGAAATAACTTTTCCAATGTGTAGAGTTGATCAAATCATCAAGGAGCTAAAATCTAATCTTAAATCTTGAAAAATTATTAATAAAACACAGCTATTTACTAATAAAATAGCCAAAAAAATTGTGCCTATTCAAATCATGTTTCACAAATCACATGGCTCTAGACTACTTTATCTGGTAAAGGAGTGTGTACCTTCACTGGAAAGAATGTTGCACACATATTCTAGATAAGTTAGAGTATAACCATGACCTGGCTATACCAATGTGTAGAGTTGATCAAATCATCAAGGAGCTAAAATCTAATCTTAAATCTTGAAAAATTATTAATAAAACACAGCTATTTACTAATAAAATAGCCAAAAAAATTGTGCCTATTCAAATCATGTTTCACAAATCACATGGCTCTAGACTACTTTATCTGGTAAAGGAGTGTGTACCTTCACTGGAAAGAATGTTGCACACATATTCTAGATAAGTTAGAGTATAACCATGACCTGGCTATGATATAAGAGAAGAGACTAATTACAACAGAATAAATTTGGTATCTGATGCCCAGGTAATGATATGCTAGGAAATGGGAAAGGAAGATTATAGAAGATGTATAGATATTGCAGGGCTTATAGTCAGCTATGTGCAAGAGGTGCTAATAAAGTGTGACTTCCCTGCACTGTTAAAGAAATACCCTAAATCTTGCTTTATCAAGATGGTGTGAAATTTTTCACCTGTATCTAGAAATGAATCTTAAGATTTATGACAAAGGAAACAATGCAATACAGTAGATAAAGGATAATCTTTTTTTTTCATTGAATGGCACTAGATGAATAGAATATCCATTCAGGCAAAAAATAGCTGAACCTCTACCTCACAGCATACACAAAAATAAATTCCAATGTATTGTATATCTAATTATAAAATGTAACATAATAAAGCTTTCGAAAAAAGCCAGACAAACATCTCTGTCACCTTGGTGTTGGCAAAGAATTCTTAAACAGGACACAGAAAACACTAATTATGAAATTGAAAAACTGGACAAATTGGACTATATTAAAATTCCTATTTGGTGTCAAAAATCATAGTAAGATAGTGAAAAACCAACCAATAGAGGATGCTATTCACTATAAATCCTGACAAGGAATTCATATCCAGAATATATATATATGTGTGTGTGTGTGTGTGTGTGTGTGTATGTGTGTGTATCTATTTAAAAATCTTAAATATAAATGAGAAAAAGACACAGAATCCAAAAGAAAAATGAACAAGAAACTTGAACCACCTCCCAAAAAAGAACATAAAATGGATGTGTGTGTGTGTGTGTGTGTGTGTATGTGTGTGTATCTATTTAAAAATCTTAAATATAAATGAGAAAAAGACACAGAATCCAAAAGAAAAATGAACAAGAAACTTGAACCACCTCCCAAAAAAGAACATAAAATGGCTAATAAACATATAAGAAAAGGTGCTGAACTTCATTAGTCATCAGGAAAATACAAAATAAAACCACAAAACCACCACCCACATGAAATGAAAAAGACTAAAATGAAAAGGATGGGGAAATACTAAATTTTGAATGGAATGTGGAGCAACCACTTTGGAAAATTGCTTGGCTATATTTATAAATATTGAACATCATGTCTTCTGCCCTAGTAATTCTAATCCTAGGTTAATATGCATATGTCAACAGAAGACATATTCCAGAACATTTGGCTGAGCTATGCTATTCACACTATTCCCAAACTGGAAATAATGCAAATGACCATCAACAGTAGAACAACTGAATAAATTGTGATACATCTAAGACAATGGAACATCAAATAGGAAAGGGTATGAAGAACTCCCTGCTATACACATCAAAGAAACAAATACTAATGGGAAAACCTGGCCCAAAAAGAGTATATGTACTATGGCTCCATTTATATAAAGACTATTTGAAGTCTGGGTGATGGTCACTCTTGGGACAAGGGGGTAGGGGGGACTGGAGGAGTCATAAAGGGGTCCATACAATGTTTGGCTCTTGGTCAAAATTCTGGCTCCATGGGTTTATTCAGTCTGTGAAAATTTATCCAGACGTATCCAAATTAAAAAGTTAAATTAAAACAAAAGAATATGTCAGCAATAGATCAAACATTCTATTTAATTATATCTGAAACCATTCACATCATAATGAACTCCTCTCCCCACCTACTAAGCCAAAGCCTCACCCACCCGTAACGAAGAGAAAGCCTCACTGGCTGGAACTAGGTGGTGCCCTTGCGGAAGCCGCATCTAAGCCCCAGGCACGTCACTCTCCTGTACATCCCGCCTTCCTGCCATTGAGTCTCCACTGTATCCAGCCTAGGGGTCTCCCGCGCATTAGGTCTCCAAGGCAAACCGTACTTTCGTTTCCGGTCACGGCGTCTGACTGGGGCTTGCTACCCGCCGCCATTATGAATATCCGCAATGCTCGGCCAGACGACTTGATTAACATGCAACACTGCAACCTCCTTTGCCTGCCCGAGAACTACCAGATGAAATACTATTTCTACCATGGCCTGTCCTGGCCGCAGCTCTCTTACATCGGCGAGGATGAGGACGGGAAGATTGTCGGCTATGTCCTGGCCAAAATGGAGGAGGAACCAGGTGGTGTCCCCTACGGACATATCACTTCCCTGGCGGTGAAGCGCTCGTACAGGCGCCTCGGCCTGGCCCAGAAGCTCATGGAGCAGGCCTCCCGCGCCATGATAGAAAACTTTAGTGCCAAGTACGTGACCTTGCACGTCAGGAAGAGTAACCGGGCAGCCTTGCACCTCTATTCTAACACCCTCAACTTTCAGGTTAGTGAGGAGGAACTCAAATACTATGCAGATGGAGAAAATGCTTATGTTATGAAGCATGATCTCTCGCGCTTGGCAGGTGAGCTGAGAAGACAGCTGTGGCTGAAAGGGAGGGGCTGGCGTGCGGCGCTGGGCCCCAGGGAGAACCCGGAGACCCAGGGCCGCACACCTCCTAGTTGGGGAGAGGCCCTCCCGGAGGATAGCCCGGCCGCTGATGACAGTGGCAGCGACGGCAAGGAAACCAGCGAGTCCACGGAAACCAGTGATGTCCCGGACAGCTAGGAAGACTCGGATTCCACGGATTCCACCTCCTAAAGCCAATTTAAGGTATTTCTTCCCCGACCCAATCCCTTCCCTAAATGCTGCACCATATCCCGGCCTGCCCAATCCTATCCTGTCCCATCCCACTGTAGTCCTGCTAGGTCTCACTGTGAAAACCACCTAGTGACCTTGGGCAGGAGTATAGACTAGGTGGCGGGGGGCGGGGGGTGAGGGAACTCAATGCTTGCTTTGGGAACTGAAAAGCATTCCAGCTCATATGCTGAAAGTAGATTAACTTCAGTAAAAGAAAACAGGCATTTGTCCTGACGTTTTGGTATGAATTGTATTTTAAGGTATCCATATAGTTGATGAAAAAAATTTCTTCTCTATAGAATTATAGTTAATAAATACCAAAGGAATGATAGAATTACAAAATCACCATTTTGAAACTCTTGATAAAATAATCTAGCCTCCTGTCATCAATGGCTCATACTGTTAGATGAAAGTTGGTGCACTTTGTAAGGACTGTCACAATGACACTTGAAGTTACTAGCCAAGTATAATATCACTGAAAGGGAGAAAAACATATGCCTTCTAATGCAATAGGTAATATGTAGTAACACCTATGAAATATAAATATCCATGCTAAAAGATAATTGTGTGCATAAAATTCATCTTGAATTAAAACAAGCCTTTAGATCTGCCATTTTTTTTTAAATGGAGGGACGTGTTAAACTATACCATGATGCAATCAGCCAGAATGAAAGAAAAATCCAGCATAAGAGAATTGCTACAGAACAAATGGTATGGTTTCTTTCACAAATAAATACCATTTTTAAAAGTGGAAGAGAAATTTATTAAAACAAACCCGAGAGATATATTAACTAAATGCAACCATTGTGGTCATTGTTTAGATCTTGGTTTAAATAAACCAAATATAAACTATTCTGAGATAACCATGCAAAATTTTAACATAGCCTGTATGCTATTAAGGAATTGTTAATAATTTTGTTAGGTGAGCTAAATGGTATTATAGTATTATGTTTTAAAAAAAAAGTCCTTTCATTAAAGATGCATAGTGAAATAGAGGTGAGATAATACAAGGCCCAGAATTTACTTCAAAATACTGTATGTGTGAACATTAAAAGTCAAAGAACAAAATCAAATTATTGTACTTGCCAGTACACCTTAATACTAGTATTAAGCAGCCACTAGAAAGGAGATTTTAAAAGCTATTTAATTTCCATCAAGAACTTTGTAGCACCATGAGAATTTCAGGTGTCAGTGAGCCACTGTCAATTTAGAAGCTTTAACTTCTAAACCTGGTCACCTCCTTTATGTGAAAAAGGCAATGACTTCTTATCACAAAGTCCAGTAATAGTGACATAGACTGCATATAATTAAAATCAATGCTGCTTGATTAATTTATTCATAAACATTCTTATTTGCGGGGCATGAGGCTTGAAGCTTGGTATACAACAGTGATCAGAAGAGGCTGATGTTTAGATTATACATCATTTAAGAATAAGTGAACTATATTTTTTATACATTTTAATGCTGAAACCCAAACTATAAGACACTAACCCCATTTCATTTTCATTCACTTATAGTTTGCTAGTTATACATGCTATAACAATTAAGATACAGTAAGTTGATGGAGGTTAGAAAGAGTTTATTCTCAGTACAGTCTGCTTCTGGCTTTTAAGAGCCTGAAGGTTTTGTGATGTTTGATTCATTTGGTTTAATGTTAAGGTAAAGGCAACAGAACAATATAAAAGTGAAGGTAAAATTAAACAAAACTTGATGCCTTGAGAGAACTGTTATCAGATTTACACCTGTCTTAAAAACACTGGAGGATTCTACCAAGATGATTTTATGTAAATCAACAAGCCTTTTTAAAAATTAACAAATTCTGATATAGCCTTTTTAAAAATTTGCAAATTCTGATATAGAAGCACTTATATAATATTGATATAATCTTTGTGGTCATTGGTTTCTCTTCAGTTGTTATAGCTGAGAAGGATTTTAAGTAGAATAGAGTTAACTGGAGATTGCTTTAAAACTGTATATGTGTGTGTGTGTATATATATGTATATATACGTATATATATGTATACACACAAAGAAGTTTGACAAATTCACAAATTCAGTAGCACTTAATATCTGTGAAACAAAAATAGCTGCCATCCTAGTAGGAGAAGAGAAAACAATAAATAAGAAGAAGAAAGTTATTGTGTGGCATTTACACATCTGTGTCCAAACTCAGAAATAATTGAAATATTTCTTTATATTACTGTAATTGAACTTTACTTCTGAGTTGAAGGAGATATTTCCTCTACTTGACACCACGGTCCTTCCAGGTTGATATCTGCTGAGTAATCTTCATTGTCCCATCTAATCTTTGGTCCTTACTATTTACTTCTGGATCCTTTCCATCAAGAAGCCTCTTCAGGTTTTGGGTGCTGTCCTCCATGTTTGGGCCATGATGCTAAAAAGTAACCTCTCAAATCTCAGTAACTTAACGTAATAACAGCTTATTTCTCATATTACGGTCCACTATGGGTTAGCAGTGTGGTGACTCTGTAGGAAGGAGAGGAGAGGAGGGGCCCTGCTCCATGAAGGCATTCAGGAATTCATCTAGAACAGATGATCTTATTTTGTTCCATATCCACCTTTGGCAATCTGGTGAAACCTAGGGAGCCTTTTCAAGAAAATGTTTTTAAAAGGTATAAAAATAATATGGGATTACAAAAGAAACTAATTTTATTGAAATACAGCTTTTAAACTATTTTAAAATAAATTTATGTTATATATGTACTTCTTTATTACTATTATATGAAATAAAATATCTAGCAGTGGGTTTAATAATTACTGCAAAGAAAATTTGAGTGTAAATGATATTTTGAGATACTGCCAACAACTGTAATACAAAATATCTATGAATTTTGTTGGCAACAAAGTCACAAGTATTACTAGTACTCTGTATTGGTGCCTACATTCATAATTGAAAGAAATGCTAAATTTTAGTTAAAGGTTAATGAAAAAGCAGACTTTTTTGTTCCAAAACCCTTGATTCAGTTACTCTGCCATTTTCTAGAATCATGTGTCCTTCACTGGTTCATTTATCTTCTGCTTGGATATAAGGGAAGAGAATGCACTTGAGACTTGTATAGTTTTCAAAAGTCGTACCATTCCCCAACTAACTGCGAGGGGAGGCTAGGAAACGTAGTTTAGCTGTGTGCCCAGGGGGAAAAGGAATGAGTTCTGGTAACAACACAGCATAGTTGCTGCCACGATAGGAAACATCCTAATGGGCTCCAGACTGAGAAGCTCTGCTTCTGGGCCCAACTACGGACTTGCGGTCAGCCTGCTGCGCCCCTTCCACAGTGTAGCATGGGAACTCTGTGAGGCTGTCTAGAACTGTCTGCTTAGTCACATGAGACATATGGCTTCTGCTTTTGCACAAACCTGGGCATGGGAAACTGGGATTCTGCCATCTTGCTCCCTTTGTCTCTTGTTAAAGCCTGGAAGAGATGACCTGTCAACTCTGAAATCCTCCAAACTATCTAAAGCTTCAGGTACCATCCCTCACCTCCATCCCATTCAACGGGGATTCACTAATACATACCCTTAGCTGCCTGAATGGAAAAAGGCTATTGTGAAGAAGAACAGACTAGGACAAAAACTTTACAGATGAACACTGTAAAAGTATTATCCCACCACAATTGTGACACTGTCTCCTGTGGAGCTAGTGTTCAAATACCTACAGAAAAACATCCTGAAAGAAGTAGCTTTCCATTTTTTCTTATTTCTACTTTTGGGTCTGGGCAACAGAGGCAGTTAAAAGTTTGAAGTGATGTTGAGTAGGGTAGTTGGTAAAGGAGATTGTGTGTCTTCATCTACAAAATGGTAATAAAAATTACTATTAACACAATGAAAACTTACAATGTTATAGGTACTATTGTAAAAATTACATATGAATTGATTGTCTCATAATCTTCATAGATATCCCTCTGGGGTAGGTACTATTACTCCATTTTACAGATGAGGGTTGCATGTCACACAGCTATTAAATGGAGAGCAGGGATGCAGATTTTCATAGTGAACCTCCGTGATGGTGAGGATTAAATGAGACAGTCCCTGTAAATTGTTTAGCAGCGTTCCTCACACACAAATATTCTGTGAAGTTTAGCTCTTAATATCATCCTTAGTAGTAGTAGTAACCATTCAGGTACTTTCTTCTCCACGGTAATCAAATGGTAGAATGTTGTATATGAGCAGCAACACTTTGCAATCTTGGAAGGGAGATACATCTTAATGATTAAAATAGCTCTCACTGACAAGCTGAATGTCAAAGCATTCAGCTGGATCAATGTTCATCAACAGCCAAGTTTCTAGGGAGCCATAGCGATGAAGACAGGTCAGTTCAAAACATGCTAGTTGAGGCAGGAATGCCATCAAACTGATGCTTATCTCTTGACAAGGAATATGTGCTTGATGATGAATAACAAAAAAGAAAAAAGAAAAATCTCAAATTCCCATTGAGCTGGCAACATTGAGTTAACCAAGGTTACTTCAGTGCCTCTCCCTTTCTGGTTTATTCTTTCTGTCGCTAAGCTGTCATCCTAACAAAAAGTTGTTAAATGTTCACATGAGCAGTCACTGAAATAGACTGTTCTTAATTTTACCAGACAACTAATTATAACTGGAACGATACAATGAAATACGGAAAAAAGTTAGAGACTGACAGGTCTGGTAAATTCCTAGTATAACCTTACCCCAGATATGCCAGAAACCATAGATTTCAAATACAACTGCACTGCATGAAGATAAAGGGGGGGTTGGGAAGAGATAAGATATTGTTTTGAAATACTAATCAGATATCATTTTGTTGAATTATTTATAATCTTTAACAATTTCACTTTTCAATCAGTATATATAAGATGACTGAAATAACTGGTTTTGTCAGAGGTAACTGATAAAAAAAAAAGCAGAATTTTTTCCTAAATTGCATACTGTATG